GGGGGGGGGGGGGGGACGAGGTTGACAACGAATGCTTCTTCTCCTGGAAAGTTCGCTGCATGCAAAATTACATGGATGGGCAAACGACGAAGATGGAAAATCCAGAAATAAAAACGGACGGGGCATACGCCCCGACTCTGGAAGGATGCGGGAAAACTGTACTGGTGGTGTGGCCCCTTTGGGTTAATCTCGAGTATATTAATTTGAAGGTATGATTGTTTGTTTGCATGTCTGCATTACATACCTCTTTTTACAGAATGGGGCTTCGTAGGTCTGCCTCCGAAAAAGTCAAATGGGCACCGGACTACTCATCACGTCCTTGCACAGATGTCTTTCGGTTTTCCATGCTTGAAATGTACTTGGAATTTACCTCATGTCCCCTCTGGACGTGTTGCAGTGTTAGCCGTTCTTCGCGAGTGGTGGAACTACTGCCGTCCCCTCTCTTCTGTAAGTACGTCCTCTCGTGTACAATTCAGTCGTACGTAACATGTTGGAAGTTTTCCTGTGCCCACGGAACTCATACTTTTCTTTTTTGGTCATTCAGAACGAAAGAGGAGGTACTGGATATGCATGTGCATACAAACATGGGTAGAGTTCAGAACGCAAGATCTAATATGTTTACACGTCGAAGTATGTATTGAAGGTTCAAGACGACAAAAACAATGAGATCCCAAAGAAAGGTAGTGTAGACTACTACTGCTGTAGTACGCATACAACATCCATGTGTACAACGTACAGAGAATAATGTTTACAGCCAGCAACCATGATACACTACTGGAAGGTACAGAGTATTCACACACCGTTTACAAAAACGCGCTTGACAGCGTGCCTATTTACATAAAACGCGCTTGAGTGCGTGCCACCACGGCGGCGTGCGCTTGACGCCCGCTGGCAGGAAACAGGCCACAATTCACGTACGGACTGCACGTATGGTCTGTGTCAAAAAGCTTTGCACCTCTTAGACAATGCACATAAAAAAAAGGAAAAAACACTGAGAGACTCGCCTACCCGTTCCAGAAAAATACCAGTCGAACAGCATGTGAAATCTTTCACGGTGAGTGGGAAACCTCGGTCAGGTGCTCATACAGCAGTAGTAGGCATCTCTGTACTTTTGGTCGACATCCCCACCGCCGGCGAGCGCCCATCAATCATCATCGATGATGACCTTTGCATTGCGGCAAAAAAGGCAGCGCTGACGTTGTCTAGAAACATTGTCTTGTCTCAACTCCACCTGGCGTCATCAATGGCGCCCGGACTCCCTCCCTACACATCCCGCTGAGGCACTTGGCGCCACACCGCCGGTTGGTTGTTCCAAAAAGCCAAAGGTTGTTCGTGGTTTATTCCGCCGAAGAGGACCCGAGCAAAAATCACCCAATCAGTCTATTACTGGCTGTAGAGGTGGCGGGTCTGATAAATGAATGACTTCTAACTTTGTACGATCATACAAATATGAGGAAGGACACGGTCTGATATCTATGCATTCCAGCAAGCACACGGTCGTCGGCAAGCGGACACGCCGACACTGCTGTGCGTGCGTTGCTCTCTACGCTACACCAAAGCCGTGTCGCATATATATGGAGTGTAGCGGAAACAACAGCAGGGATTACCACGGAACGACCGAGCTGTGTGGCACTCACATTGGGCTCTAGGCACGGGAAGCAGCAGCAGCAGCAAGACGAACCCATAGAGGGTAGATATGGTGGATGGCAGTGTCTCTTGTTTTGATTTCGGAGGGAGACAGGAGATTAGGTGTGAGCGACAATACTGGCCTGCATACCGCCGATATATATATATTTTCGAATGTTTCTGGAAATTTCGCGTGGGTCGATCGGGGAGATGCGTTGCATAGCATATAGCATAGTTGGTAAAGCAGGCGGAGCCAAAGTCGCCACAGCCTCGTATCCTGGGCCCAGTATCAGCAAACCACCCACAATGTCTCGTATCTTTCTACTTCGGAAATATATATGTTATCTTTCCTACACAGCAGCCCTCGGTAGTTTCTCACACAGCGGTCGGGTGCCTGTCTGAGAGGCTGGGCCACAGACTCCATGGGGGCAGCGTGTTGTCCGAGACTCGTCTGCATTGTGGATGTGTAGCAAGCAACTACCGCAGGAGGGAAGGAATCTGCAGTAGTTTGTACTAGTCTATCCCTGTTTTCACACGCGAGAGACGCACACCGAAGTTCCGTGCAAGCCCTAGCCCGAACTTACGCGTGTGCATGCATGTGTGTTTTACTACTGATAGCAACCTCGACCGCGATCACCGGTTCAACAAAAAAGACCAGTGTATAGACCCACTAGTCTATCCCTGTTTTCACACGCGAGAGACGCACACCGAAGTTCCGTGCAAGCCCTAGCCCGAACTTGTGCGTGTGCATGCATGTATGTGTGTTTTACTACTGATATCAACCTCGACCGCGTTCACCGGTTCAACAAAGAAAGACCAGTCAGTGTGCGAGAGCACAATATTCCGAGTCATGCATCATCATCGCGGAAGAAAGTCAGCCTGGAGGACCAAAAATAGCATCCCATTACCAGCATCTCTGTGCGTGTGAACAAGACTACTTCATACAAAGATAGGCTAAATATGCACATATACCGCGATAACCACTGGTGATTGGTATTGAAACACACCTATTATATTCGTTCGTGCAAGGCGATTCTTCAGGATCTATAGAGTCCGTCCGGTTAAATTTTGCCACCATCTCCTGAAATCACCTTGGGAAATGTTTTGAGTGACTGACGTACCCCCTAGTTGTTGTTGTTGTTGTTGTCTTCACATTAAAAACCATCCCGGTCTCTCTATCCAGTACCTCCTTCTGTCTCAATCTCTCCGTACTAATCCATCACTTGACTCGGCCAATTTCCGTGGTCACAGGCTAACGTACCTAGAAAAGGTATACCAAAATAAAATGNGAGACGTGGCTGCGATATGAGTCTGTACCTCGACCCGGAAACCACGTCCAGCGCAGGTATCTACCCACTGTCAGCTACAACAACAGCGAACCTACAGTAGTTGACTTCACATTAAATAAACCGTATGCCAGTTGCTAAATGCCCAAATCTAGCAAAGACTCTCGGCCCGTGGTCACGAAAGTGCTGGAGCCATCTGAGGATCTAAAGAACACGCACACGTAGCAAGAAAAAGGTGTACAAGAGCCCGAAGAGGT